CCGTATGTTTGTAACATCGGGAATGTCCATCAGATCAACCTTTTGATTGTTGCCAACCTGTCTCCACTGGTCCAGAGGGGTACTCTCATCAAGGCCTCCCGGGTCATTGGGCCCACCTGGGCCCTGAGGTCCGCCGCGACCGCCTCCGCCGCCCGGGGGTCCAGGCCCCCCCGGACTCTCTGGAGGCGGCTTCCCTGACTGGTCTTGGGCGGCACGGGTCAGTGCGTGCAAGAATTCGGTACTCGGTGCGGTACTTTGATCATCCCCGTCATTGCTTTGCCCTGCCCCGCCAGACGGCGCGGCCGCTGGCGCGCTATCCTTACCTCCACCCGGCGGCTGGGCCGCCGGTGGCCGCGCTGGCCCCGCCTGGGCGAAAGGATGATAGTTAATGTGGGTCATGTCATCAACGGCGCCTTGCAACTCGGCGTTGAATGGTACATTGTCCCCGGAGATGCCTGGCTCGGCCGGACCTTCGGCGGCAGGGCCAGGGGCAGTGAAATGGGGTTGCAAAGCTGGCCTGACGGGCGTTTCCTGTGAAAGCTGAGGCATATCGAACTGATGACTTGGGCATTTTATCAAGCGGCTTCTCGATAGATTGGACGGATTCCATACCCATAGTCCGCGTCATCTCGTTCGCCCTTTCTTCCAAGGCCACCTCGCGGCCAGCGGCTTGCGATCGAGACCGCATGCGCTGGTCTTTCTCCTTCAAGGATTCAGCGATGGCAGCCTTGAGCTCCATCACCTCTTTCCCTGATGCAGCTGCGCGGGCCAGCGCTTCTTCTTTTTCACGAAGGTTGGCGGCTGATTTTTCCGAGCTTAATCGAGGCTGTTCCTCAACTTGCCCCTTCGCCCTCTGCATGTTACACTTGTCAGCGTAAATATAATCAAGGAGCTTCTGCTGTTGGGCCCGAAAATTAAGGTTGGCGCTGTCTCGCTTCCATTGCTCGTCCCACTCCGCCTGCTCCACAGGCAAACTCTTTCGTTGGGCACGCGCGACGCAACGCTTCGTGCTCATATCAAAATGGATTTTACACCTTGGCGATCCGCAAGTGGCGCATAAACCGACCTTCTGGTTAGAACATACTGAACAACTTTCGTCAGTGCCCCCTCTCGCGGGCTGAAGCTGCCGGGCAGCTTTCGCCCGCAGCAACGGCGGCGCCCCGCCCTCTGGAGGCGCCGAGCTAGGCTGGGCCTGCGACGACGTAGCACCAGACGGCTGGGCCGCCGGTGATTGTCGTCTGCCCGCCCCTGCCGGCTTGGCCGGTGGGCAAACCCCGTCGCCTATCTGTAGTTGGCGAAGCGATGCCCTAGAGTGTTCATGCTTCGTAGGCTCGTCTCGATATTGTTTATTCTGGTCAACCATCTTCGCAGCTATGATCTGTGCGTTGGCCACTTCAAGCCGAGCAGCGCAAAGTTGATGTTGGAGCTCCTTTCTTTCGTGCTGTGCGTAGGCTTTCGCGGCCCCCCCCCTTCTAGTCTCGCCACCGCAACAGCGGCGCAGGCGGACTTGGCGTCTACAGCTTGACTGTGCACCGCCAGGGCAGCCCGTCGCTCAGAGAAAATGCCTTAACAATCTTGTCCTCGGTGTCCTCCGCACGCTGCTGGGCAGCCGCGGTCTGAGAGGGCATTTGTGCTATCAACTCTTGTTCTCGCCGGCTGGCAGCTTGGGCCAGGGCGAGCCTGTCAGCCTCGAACTTCTTCTGAGCGTTGGCAATAACTGCATTCATCTCTTCTCGATCCTACCGGGCCTGTTCGGCCCTCCGGGGCTTCTAAGGCCATGGTTTCTTGTTGTCTCTGGGCCTCTATGATCCTGGCCTGGTCCTGCATGGCTTGGATCAAAAGGCATTGGCAGTTATGTTCTTCCATCTGGAAGGAGTCCCCACACAACCATTGATTGCCGCAGTTGGGGCCCCGCTGGAACAATACCCACACACTGGGCGCCTACAAGGCCCCCCCCCTTTGTGGGCTTTCCCCGGGCACCTGTTCTCCGCTTGGGGCGGGCAATCAGGACCCTGTTTCCAGCGCGCCTCACGCATGGAAATGATACTGTGGCTCCTCGAAGTCGATCGGGCACCAGATCGTGGGATCTTGGGCCGTCCTCTGCTCGAAGCAGACGATCGAGGGCGAACATGTATGCTCTCCGGTGGCTTGGCCACCTCGCGGAGCGCCTCATCCCGTTCATCCTGCGCAATCAACTCTGGGAGTGTGACTGGGGGGTCAATCGTGTCATCACCCCCAACCACCGCGGGGACCGACGGCTGCCAATCGCCTGGGGCGACGGCAGACCGATGGAACCCCTCCCGAAGCGGGGGAGCATTCAAGTCGTAATCTTCATATCTGTGCTTCTTATACTGAGGGGCTGGCGTTCGACCCGTGGATTCCCGGTCATGCCTGGCATGAAGTTGGGAACTCAATGCAACCTCTGCCGCCTGGGGCGGAACCTCAACGATTGGGAGAACGGGGGGCGGTATCGATGTTCCCCATGGCTCGTGTACCGCCGGGACCTCGCGGACTAGATCGCTGATCGTGGTGTCTAGATCTGGTTCCGCAAATGCCTTCCCAAGAGCTTCCAAGTGATCATAATCAATGGTTTCCTGTCCTGGGGATGACCTTCCGTCTGGGACGGGACAGTCGGCAGCGTTCAACAGCGGCAAAGTTTGGCTTGGGGACAATTCAATTCGTACTCGGCATACTCCATGTCAGCTTCCATGGAGTTGACATCGTCTTCGTCATCAAGCTGTTCGTCGCTGTCTTGACCGGGTTGCCCGTTCAAGGCGATCGGGATGGGGTGAGTTCTGGGCGGACGACCCCAACCGTCTGGGACGGCGGGGAGCATGCCGCTGGACTCGTCCACGACTCGCGGCCTACTGGCTGGGCCGGCTCGATAGAATGTACTGCAATCGGGCTGGAATGTACTGTTTCTGAGGACTCAACAATCCAAGATGAGAAGGCCCTTCGCCTGGCGTTCACGGCTGGGCCGTTCCGCCTCATCGGGTCCGGGGTCTGTTCACGATCTCTGATCGGAGCGCGAGTGGGAGAATCACCTGCAGATAAATCTATGACTTCTCCCACAACCCCTCCATGAGGAACCCGAATGAGATTAGAAGAGGGAAGAGAGCGGCCCTCCCCTGGGCCGCTGTCCTGTTGTTCTTGCCCGTCTCGATGCACATCGTGTAATCTCGCGGGCAATTCGGCTGTCTCATCATAGCTCATTGCCATAGCGACTTGGTCGCGGGTTTCGGCTGATAACCATTCTTTCCTCTGAGAATCGGGGTAAGATGCCAAAGGAATTAAGGTCTCATGATCAATACGCTCAGTGGTAGAGGGTTTGGGACGAGACATCGATGAAACAATATGTTATCCGTTAAGCAAATGCACCCAACTATAGGAAGGGAGGAGGTCCGGCCGGCCGACGACCGACGACGTGCGCAAGCCGCGGGCTGGCGCGCTCCTTTTCTAACTTGAGTAGCAAACAGCTGCAGAACAGTGCTGCAGTAATATCAAGGTGTGGCAAGGCAGGCGGCAGGAGAGGCAACTATAAGATGAGGCGGAGAGGAGCATATTTACTGATAGGCCTGCCTAGCCACACGGCCACCTTCAGAACCCAGTCGGCCGCCCAGCGCACCCAAATCGTGCCCATTCGAAGGCCGCTGCGTGCGTCTGGCTCCCGCCACGCCGCAAGACGTGCGCGCAATTCGGCTGCCCGTCCGGAGGCCGAGTGGGCCCAGACGCCGAGTTTGCCCAGGAACGAACCCCAGGAGAGGGAACGGCCCGATACGGCCATGAAACGTTGCTGCCACCGCAGACGCCAACAAGGCGCCTTGACACTGCGCGTTCGCAAGTCAGATGGGTCCTGTCCAAGTCGGTCGACTCAACTCGGTGGAAGCTGACACACTGTGGTTCTGCACTGATCTACGAGGCATGAGCTCCCCCCTCTTCCTCATCTCCTGTGACCTCCCTCTTCCTGACGTCCCGGCATGCCTTGCGCTCTCCTGTGGCCTGGCGGCGATCCCAAAGGGGAAGTCAGAGGGGGCGGGTCTTCTCAGAAGGCTCCTTAGACCTCCGGCCTTCTGATCAATTGTCTCAACCTTTCCCGAAGTCGGAGACGGCTTCTCAGAAGGCTGGAGGGCGTCTGAGAAGATCAGCCGCCTTCTGAGAAGGCCCGCTCCCTCTCACTTCCCCCCTATGCTCTCCGCCGAATGGTCCATCCACTCCTTTCTCCCAACTTGCTTTCTCTCTCTCTCTCTGGCTTTTTTTTTGTTCTCTCTCTCTCTCTCTCTCTGGTTCGAAGCACTTCCGTAGAAACAGTACAGCCCACCCATAAGTTATAGGTGGTTCGCTTTGCGACAGCCTCAATCCAACCAGCGCGGTGAGGCACGACGAAGGGCTCAATACCCCTGCTCTCCAAAGCCTCCGGGATGCAATCCAACCAAACCAAGTAATGCTCCGATGCGTTCACAGGGCGTACCGAAAAGACTTCCGACGTCGCACCACATCCTGCACTCTGGGTCGGGCAGCCACGGAGCTTCTTCTGCTGCTGTGGTTATACCCCCTCCTCCTCTTCCTTCTCCTTCTCCACCTCCTCCTCCTCCTCCTTCTCCTCCTCGTCTCTTCCCCTCCCTCTCCATCCACCTCCCCCCCTCCTCCTGCCTCCTCCCTTTCCCATTTTCCCTCGCCCCTCCTTTTTAATTCATCATCCCTCCCTTCTGCTTACCTCCTTGGCCTACTCCTCCACCTCCTCCTCCTTCCCCTCCTCCTCCTCCTCCTCCTCCTCCAGCTGACCCAGCCAGGCCCTGCAAGCTTCCTGTGTTTCGCAGGTCTCGGTCTGACGACCACTTGGCCATGGATGACCAAACAGGCCCGCCCGCAGCCCTGGCTCCGACGGCGATCTCCAGGGCGCTCGGTCCGGGACGCTCGGACGAGGCCGACCGAGCGCGGCAACGACGCCGTCGCCCAAAGACGCTCCCCCCCCCCCCCCCTTCCCTCCACGGGCGAGTGGCCTGGTGGGCACTGCCTTGGCGTCCGCCTTGCCCTTCAGGGTCGCGGTCAGGTCCTGCAGCCTGGCCAGCGTGCTGACGCCCTGGCGGCCGCGCGCCCCCCGTGGCTCCAACGGCCGAGGCGGGGGGGAAGGGCGGTGGAGGGAAGGGCGGGGGGAGCGAAGGGCAGGGGAGAGGGGGAGGGAGGGATGGTTGCGAGGAAAGGGAGGGGGGGAGGACGGAGGGGGGAGGAAGCGGCGGCGGAAGGAGAGGGGGACGGCGGGGGGAGGGGCATGAGGAGCTGATGATGATGATGATGATGATGATGATGATGATGATGATGATGATGATGATGATGATGCTGCTGCTGCTGCTGCTGCTGCTGCTGGTGATGTTTCTAATGATGATGCTGATGCTGATGATGATGGTGGTGGTGGTGATTCCCAAATAGCTCCTTGGAGAGCTAAGAGGGTTTTAGATTCTAAGCCGGCAGGCAGGGCTGCGTCAGCTCCTCTCCAAGACTCCTGGGCAGGCATCCTCGCAGCGCCTTGCTTGAACTTGCAGCGGGTCCCGAGCAGCGGTTTCCTACTCGTTCCCAATACGCGTGCCTGAGGCCTTTTCGCAGGTCCTTCGCATCTCCTTCGAAGCTTGCTTTTCAAAGCTTGCAAGCTCTCCAAGCATGGTTTCCAGCGTCACGAAGGAGCGTTTTCTCGACGTGGAATCTCTACAGGCATGCTTTCCAGCGTCCGTGCAAGCGTCTGCTATAAGCGTTTCTGACCAGTGTTCCCGGATACGCGCTTTGGACCGCGTTGTGCTACTCCGGTTTTGGACGCCACAAGTAAAGAGATGGCAATGATAGTGGTGATGGTGGTGGTGATGATGGTGATAGTGGTGACGATGATGCTGATGATGCTGATGGTGATGATGTTGATGATGTTAATAATGCTTACCATGGTCATGGTGATGATGCTGAAGATGATGATGGCGACGGTGATTATGATGATGGTGAGGATGAATATGGGGATGATGATGATGACGGTGGTGCCTAGTTATAACGGTGCTGGTGATGATGATGGCAACGGTGATCATGGTGGTGGCGAGGATGATGAGGATGGTGATGATGATGAGGAGGACGATGATGATAATGATAATGCGAATGAGGATGATGATGCTGACGGTGCTGCTGATGATGCTGGTGTTGACGACCTTGATGATGACGACGAAAATGATAATGACGATGATGATGGTGATGGTGATTTTATCCCCGGCGTCAGGGCGGATGAAGATAACCGGATAATCTCACGGGATCAAAGAGTTGGCGAAGCCCGTCGAAGGAAGGATCGCTCTCGCTAGACCCCGCATTGGGGCGGCGCTCGGTGGGTGCTGCACCAGGGAGCGAACGTGACAGAAAGCGGTTGGATTTTCCGCGCAGCAATTCTGTTGCTTCCTCATCAGATGCTGTTAATATTGTTGTGGTTGAGGATGATGGTGATGCTGATGATGATGACGATGATCAGGAGGAAGAGGAGGAACATGCTGATGATGGCGATGACGATTATGCTGGTGGCGGTGAGAATGATGATGCTGATGATGATGCTGAGATGATGGTGATGATGACGACGACGATGTCCCTCGTCCTTCTTCGTCCCCTTCTTACTCCTCCTGCCTCGTCCTCTCCCTCCTCCTTCCTCCTTCCTCCTTCCTCCTCCTGCCTTGCCCTCTCTCTCTCTCCTCCTTCCCCGTCCTCTTCGTCCCCAGTCTCCTGCTCCGCTTCCCTCCTTCTCCGCCCGCTGCCCCCCCTCCTGGAGGAGCAGGGGCGGGGAGGAGGGACGGGGCAAGCACCAGGTCCGGCGTGTCCCCCTACGGGCGGATTTGGGGCGAAAACTTAAACATACGCCAACAGTGCAGCACACATTCCAAAACATAACACAAATCGCCTCCAGATTATTTGTTAACTGTTCTGGAACATCCCCCCCGGCAGGGGGACAGACCCGACTTAAGGCAAGCGCAAGACGCCACCGCGAGGCGGCCGAGCGGTCGCGCCCGCGCGCCAGCTCCGACGCCGCCCCAACCGCTCGGGCGAGCGGCGCGGCGCGCTCGGCGGCGCGGCGCGCTGCCGCTCGCCCTCGGCGCAGAGCGTGACGGCCAGCAGCAGGAGAAGGAGGAGGAGGAGGCCCCACCCCCTATCAGATGGACCCCCTCTGTGGGCCACCGGGAGCGATGCTGGCCGAGCCCGCCTCCTCTCCTGCCCCCGGCTTGGTCCATCCTCTTCCTGCCTCAGGCTTCGGTCCATATGTTTCTTATCTCCTTGGCTCCCCCAACCTTCGTTCACGAAGCTCTGTGGTCAGAACGGAAAACGAGATCCGGCATAATGACTGTATTGGCCAACTCTGAGTTTAGAGACATGTCCGTTAGTATGTCGTCGATTTGCGGGCGTTCGCCAGTGCTCCACAGCTGGTGTGTCCATATGTGATCATACCGGTGTTTGAAGAACGTGTTAGTAAAGCAGAATAATAACTTCTTTTCCGCCGACCACGCTAGAAGCTAGAAATTGATCTCCTCGGTCCGTCATGATTCCCAAGTCGCACTTCCCGATGCACTTCGGATTATCGTCTTCTCCTTGTTGGCCAACTTCTGCATTCGCATCGACTCCAATTAACTATGGTGTTCCTGTCTTTCCGGCGTTCGGGAACAATCGATCGCACCATTTCCAATGCAGACTCGCACTCGATGTCCGAGCGGCCAACGTGAGGAAAATGTGCAGACATCGCCCTCTACTTCCCTCTCTTTCCGCCGAGGTCTGCATACGCTTCTCTTCCAGCGTCCACTACACAAAAATCTACGAAATCTGATGCCCGACATCTGTTGATCAAAATTGCGATGCTCGTGTCTCTGTCCCCTCGCGCCGCCACGCACCACAAATGTCCCCCAAGAACTTCGTGTATGGTGGTGGTCTCACTTTGGGGGCCCTCCTGCATCAAAATGGCATCCCAAGGAACAATCAGATTGTTAGCTCCAATAAGAAACATCCCAAATGACTCTTCACTCATACCTGCAGCATTCCACGATAAAACTCGCATCTGGGTAGGGCTCTGCCTTCCAAATGGGAGGCGGGCTCGAAAAAGGCATGTGCCGGGGAATCACCATCGATGTTAGCGCATATATGTATATATATATATATATATATATATATATATATATATAAATATGTATCCCTCTCCCCGCTCCTTTTCCTCCAAACGTTGACGTTGTAGCGGTAATACTCGTCGTGGTACTCTGCGGTCCTTGCCTCATTTCTGGATGAGCCGTGGGGTGTCACAGCCCACGTTTGGACCGCCGTTTGGTGATGTTGTTCTCCACGTGCTGCCTGACCTGCAGAACCGATGTATCATACCCCCATGCTCCCCCATCCGTCCTCCATCTGACGTTCTCGCCCTTGTATTTCACGAGCCCCTTCTCCCAGAATCTGCGAATATCTTTGAGACTGTATCCCATAATCTCGTGGAACTGACGTTTGGCATATCCCAATACCTTGTCAAACTCACGCTTTTCCAATGTTTTATTTGTATGAAATCGTATGTTGTAGTGGTTAGCCCATTGGTGCGATTTCTTCCCGACCTGCCGAAAGAATCCGTTCTTGGCGCCGACCGTGTTGAACTATAGCACTCCTACCTTCGCAGAGTCCGTGAAACAGAACATATCAGTGCACTTGGCGGTGTAGTCGAGCTCCTCCACAGCCTCTCTGAGGCGTTTCAAGATTTCGTCCTCGTCCGTGTCCTCCTTCAAGCCCTCGTCGATGACCTGGAGAACCCTCTTTTCGTCATCGTCATCGTGATGAGGTTTAGGCATCTCTGCTGAATTTGGAATTTCTTTCACAATATTCTTAACAAGATGTGGTAAGCCCTCCTTCATGGTGTTCATCCCCTCCCTGGCCATGTTCGCATTGAAGTTGGCCTGCTGGGCGATGGTCTTCGCCTCCTCCACATCGTTCCTTGTTTGTTTCATGTCCTTGCTCATGTTTTTCATCATGCTCATCATCGTCTTGAGCATTTCCTTAGCGCTCAAATCCTCATCTCCTCCACCCATGTCCCCATCATCGACCTCTTCTTTCTCTTATTCGTCTGCATTTAACTTCTTACCTTTCGGTATCGAACCTGTACTCGAATCTGCTTTCGTTTTTCCGGATTTGTCCATGACGACAGTCAATACGAACACCATACGACTCGCGTGGTTGAGCCCAGACGGTTGCTTGAGCCAGTTCTGGTCAAAACGCGCCCCGAGAGAGGTCCGGGGGGTAGCTGTACGGATACGTTTTGTTTCCCCCAAAGCAACGGAAGGGCGGACAAGGGAAGAAAGAATATCCAAGAGGGCCAGGGCGCGGAGCAGCAACAGTGGAGAAGAAACAGCCCACTACCCAGAGGGCAGTCCAGACACCGGACGACCACCAGAGGAAGGAAGAGGAGGAGGAGGAGGAGGAGGAGGAGGAGGGACCAAACTGGTAAACGCGGCACGCGTCGTCGCTGCTGCAACACACCCTCCCGTCCCAAGCCCCCTCTTTGTGAGCCAGGGCAAGTTTTTTTTTTTTTTTTTTTTTTTTTTTTTTTTTTTTTTTTTTTTTTTCTTTCTGCTGCGGCGCGCAACCGCTGCGAATGCGAGAATCGTGTTGGCCTGCACCACGAGATCATAACCAGCCTTGAAGCGCACACGAAACATCATGGTGAATCTCGATCGCGCAACGTCGGAAAACACAACGAGATTGAGGGGAAGCCGCCCTCCACCATGCGATTGACAAAACACGACACAACAACGGGACATAGGCCAGTCAGCCTCCATCCGTGAAAGCGTCTGCACTTGTCCCCCCCCCCCCCGCACAGCTTCCAGCGTGTGGCCTGCGCCACATGCCCCGAATGCAAGATCGCACGGATCGGAATCGACGCTGGTACTTGCAAAGGGATGGGCAGACACCAGTGCTGCAGTTGGCCACTATAAGTTTCACCAATATGTTAGCCAAGGCGAACCCCAAATAGTGTTTCCTTGGCATATAACCCTGTGCTCCCGATGATAACCCTTTGGGGATAATGAAGTTCGGGGGTCTGGCGGGGAT